TCCCCTCCCCCCCCCCCCCAGTTCTCTCTACCACTTCTGGCCTTAGTGTTCCCCTCTCTCTGGCCTTTCCGATTTGTACTCACCGCTCATTTTAGTGTTGTGACATGTATGTACGCACTTTAGTTTTTACAACATGTGTAGATCTAGATTTTTGTCATTTATGTTGTGAATATTCCCGAGGAAGCCCGTTGAGAGCGAAACGTTGAACTGAACCTGTGACAAATCTTTTTGGAAATATAACCAGGTCTTAACTGTTTTAATATCTGCTTATTCAATTATGATGATAATGATAATGATGAAGAGGATGGCGGTGTTGGAAGCGATTGTGATTCTGATAAAGATAATAAGTACAATGGTGTTGACAGTGTTTCAGTCACCGTTAGGAAACGGGTGACACTGTGGTGCAGCTGTGAGGCCCCTTGCCATAGCACAAGGAGGCATGAGCATGAGTTCGATTCCCGAGAGGGAGAATTTTTATCGAGCATCTTCGTCTTTCTGTTGGGATGTTGTATCACTCTCAGCCCGAGTTGGGTGAAAACAGCAGAGCTCCTAAAGTGAGTCTGGGAAAAAGATATATAATCCTTTTTTGTTGATAAAAAAAGAATATCAATATCTAAACACTCTTTACGGGGCTCTCGTGGTCTACAGCTACCGTGTTCTCGTCTGATTCAATAGGCCCCCAAAACCTGACAGTGGCGGAATATTTTCTTCTCTAGAAAAGTTCTTCTTTCACCCTTTTTCCTGCTCTCTAATCGTGTTTTGTGATCTGTTTTCATCTCCACTTTCTGCCCTGATGATGATGATGATGATGATGATGATGATGATGATGATGATGATGATGATGATGATGATGATGATTATTATTACTAATACATCACTAGCATCATTGTCACTCTAGTTGTTTACCCCATCAGTGTCGTTGATGTTGTCATTGTTGTCGCTGTTATTGTTGTCATTCTTTGTTATTTTCAATGCTGTTGCCCTTGTCGTTAATAAGTGTTCAAGTAAGAAAACTCACTTTTACTCCCCTCATTGTTTCTAATCAGACAATCTGGAAGTGATGTAATAGTGGTGGGAGAGCTGTACTTCGATCCAGCTGATGCAACTCGCGTGCAGATCGCTCGAGCCCTCGACACCTTGGATAAAGACGACGACTTTAAGATTGATGGTGACGTCTATGCTATCGGAGACCCAACCCTGGAGCCAAGCGATTCTCCCAGTACCCAACGTAAGAAACTCTTTTATCTATCTTTCCATGATGATGATGATGATGATGATGATGATGGTGTTGAAGATATATATTTTTTCAAACTTATCTTTAAAAAGGTTTCTAACGAAGGGCTAAGCGGCGAAACGTTGAACGTATTATTAAATGTGAAAAAAAATTCAAGTCTCCATTATTTTTTTGTCTCTTTGCGGTATACGATGATGATGATGATGATGATGATGATGAAGATGGGGATGATAATAATAATTTTTTTTGCTTCTTTAATGGACCTGGCGGACTCCATGAAGAAGTCTTCGAGCGAGAACGAGGCTCTTTTCGGCTCCATGGTCAATATGCTTAGCGGCACCTCCACTCGTCCAAATAACTCCATTCCAATTGCCATTGTATTGGCGCGTAGAGATGCTTCTTTGCAGTGACTTGATAATGGAAGCACTAATGATGATGATGATGATGATGATGATGATGATGATGATGATGATGATGATGATGATGATGATGATGATGATGATGATGATGATGATTTTAA